GACAAATGTAAATAGCCCATTCCCTGCCAGCCTGCCCTCCTCTAGGACAGCCCCTTGTTGCTCTAGCATTAGGTTTTCCTAATTTATTGGATGGGTGCTATCTCGTTGACTCCCGCCGAGGAGTTCCTCCCAGCTGCCCGAGCCGTGTTGCGGGACAACGCCGGGCAGAGCTGCTGGGTGGATTCCTGCGGAGCCCCCGTGGCCGGCTCACCCGGGGCTCCTCTCTCAGCCTCAGTCATCCCCCGTTCTTTAGGGTGTCCATGGTGCTTCTTAGAGTCCCAGTGATTGTAAGAGTCGTCCCCCCGTTGCGCGATGGTAGCCGCACACAGCCGCTGTACTGACGACAATGTCATGTTTGCCGTTCTAATAAAGGACTTTTACCAGAGAAGGGCAGAGCTTCCCGAGCGTCTCTGTGCTTCACTTCCCATCTCATCCCCCCTGGTGCACATCCTTGGCCAGAGGCAGCAGCAGAGAATGAATGGACAGAACTCGCTCAATGGGAGGGAGAGGGCCGTGGGAGCTGATGGAGAAGGAATTCTTGGCTGTGAGGGTGGGAGGCCCTGGCTCTGCTTGCCCAGAGAAGCCCCTGGATCCCTGGAAGGAGGGAGGAATGGATACAGAGCACCATCTCCCCAGGGAGATGAAATAGAGGCAAAATTCAAAGGGATCGGTGGAGGGGGAGCCATTTCCAAGGGAACAGCGTGGAGAGTTCTCCCAGGGCCGTGAGAAGGACTTGCTGCTGGGATATCAGTGCCTGCTCTGTTTTCCCAGAGTGGCTCAGGAGAGGTTTTCAATGTGCAGCCTCTGAGCTCATCACGGGCTCCAGTCCAGGGCTAAAGAAGAAAATGCTAATGCATGAAGTGCATCTCAGAAGGATGCTTGTTCCTTCCAGAGTGGGAATGTGCCAGGAACACCGGAGATACAGGAAACTGCATCTTCCCTGCAGCATGTAAAACCAGCCTGAAAGTCGTGTACAGCACAGGGAACAGCCCAGGGCCAGAGCATCTGTGGCACTGGGACAAGGGGGAATGGTTTTATACTGACAGAGGAGAGATTTAGATGGGTTATTGGGAAGAAATTCTTCCTTGTGAGGGTGGTGAGGCCCTGGCACAGTTTGCCCTGTGGCTGCCCCATTCCTGGAGGTGTTCAAGGCCAGGCTGGACAGGGCCTGGAGCAACCTGGGATAGTGGAAAGTGTCCCTGCCCATGGCACGGGGTGGAACTAAATGATTTTTAAGCTCTTTTCCAACCCAAACCATTCCATGATTCTGTGATTCAGTTACTCTCTGGGTGGAAGTGTCTGCATGGATCTAATCTAATCTAATCCTGCCCTCTGGCACTGCAAAGCCATTTCCTCATCCTGCCACTCCACGTCTTCCTCCAAAGTCCCTCTCCAGCTCTCCTGGAGCCCCTTTAGGCCCTGCCAGGGGCTCTGAGCTGTCT